GGGGGGGGGGGGGTTCTGGGCCTGGGTTGGGGGTTTAATACATCGGGGGTTTTGCTGGCAGGTTTCGCGTTTAGGGTTTAGGGAGAACCCACACAAAAAAGGCCAGAAATGGAACCCTGGAAGCCCGGAGTTGGGGAAATTTAGGAAGGCTCCGAGGCGCTGAGACCCGGGAGAGACTCCAAAGCCCCCAAAGCCTACGGTGGAAGGGTTTCAGTTTTCGGGTTTTGGGGGTGAGCATGTAGGCTTAGGCTTAGGGTAGCTTAGGGTGTTGAGGTCTTGGGTTTCGGTTTGAGGCTTCGAATGCCACCAGGCGGGATTCTCGAACTCTGGCATGTCGCTGAGGAAGCTGCAATGCAACGTGCAGAGTGCCTTTGGGCCTTGTAGAATAGAAGCCGGATAGAACCTTGTGTAGAATCCTGTCATCTCCCTGTCCCTATGTACAAACCAACTGTAGACGCGAAGCCCCCCCGACCCGAAAGCCTTACACAACGCCCCTGTCAAGGACTTCGGGCACCATCCCAAACCGAAACGTTCCAGACTCTAAATCCCGAGGCCTAAACCCTAAACCGCAATGCCGGAACCCTATAAACCTTAAACCTTACACCCTAAAGCCCTCAAGCCCTAAACCCCAAATCCCAAATCCGTAGAATCCTAAAGCCCTAAACCTTAAGCCTTCATTGAGGGTGAAGCCCATCTCTTCCGGCGCTAGAAGCCACGCGTGGGCAACGCAACATGACTGGGATCAGGACCTCCAGGGACAGAAGACACGCTGCCTGAGTTGCAACCGGGCCTTTAAGCTGTGCAGCTGTTACTGAGGTTCTGTTCCTTCCTGAACCTGACCGCCGCCGAGGAAGGCGGGATGGTAAGCAGCTAAGAGTTGCATCGCAAGTGCCATGTGACATAGTCATCCTGCGCCTGCCCACGATTCCTGTCAAGCCCGACAGCTTTGAATGTAGCAATGTGGCAGTGTTAACGGGCTGGCGGCCGCATTTTGGCCATGTTTCCTCGCCCGATGCTCTTTGTGGTTTGGGTGGTCATCTTTGCCACTGTGCCTTGAAGGCAGCGAGGAAAAGGCTTCCTCTCCCGGATAGAAGGGATCCTGTAAATTAAGGCTTCCGATAAGGGTCCTTCTCACCATAAGCTCTAAACCCTAAACCTCAAACCCCAAAAGCCCTAAACCCTAAACCTCAAACCCCAAAAGCCCTAAACCCTAAACCTCAAACCCCAAAAGCCCTAAACCCTAAAGTCTAAACCCTAAACCCGAAACTCGAAACCGTCTGCCGTAAATTTTTTCAAGTCCCTAGACCCTGAACCAAACAACCTTAAACCCTAAACTCCCTAAACCCTAAACCCTTAAACAAAAAAAAACACTAAACTCCGAGGTTGCCAAGGCCTACAAGCTCTCGAACCTGCCCCTCAACACCACGGGGCCGGGCGGAGGGAACCTCTCGGAGGTCGAAAAAAATATTAGCGAAATGCTGACCGAGTCGATGCTGGGTGAGATGAAGGACTGGGTTTAGGGTTTAGGGTTGCTTACTAGGGCTTTACCGGGGTTAATTCGGGTTCATGAAAATGTAGGGGTCTATTGGGGTGTATTAGAGTTTGTTGATGCCCCTCGATGCTCTCGCTCCAAGCTTAAGATTGGAGGACATTCAAGACTTGCCCGATCTTGAGAACGCAAAGGACAAGGCTGAGGACGGCGAGGGCGAGGGCAGTGAGGGAGGTGAGGGCATGGGCCAGCTGGGAAAGAGCTTGGAGTTCTTGATGCTCAAGGTCGCTCAGCTCGAGACCCTGGCGGAGTTGCAGCAGAGAGAGCTCTTGGTGGCGCATGCCAGGATCGAGAAGTTGGAGGATAAGCTTGGCATGCAACCTCCCGAGCCTACCGGTGCCACCGTAGGAATGGCGCGGAGCTCCACAGAAGGCGTCAAGGAGGCCCACGCCACCCTGAAGCGGGTGATTCAGAAGCACGCTCGGCAGCGCGAGAAGCGGCAGTACCACCCGGAGGCCCATCAAACCGAGCAACCTGAGCCTGAAAGGGAGACCGAGCCAGACTTGGCCGATGAGAAGGAGCCGGTCTCAAACTCGACAATGCGAGCTGTTTTCTGATCTGAGGCTTGATCTAAGAAATCATAGGCCATGGATGTCCCGAAAGCATTTCAAACAAAGCCGTAGTCCGTCTTAACCATGTCCAGAGCAACCAGACAGAGAGAAACGGCGACAAGGTTTGTTTATGCGCACATCATCAAATTTGTACAATGCGAGATCGCCAGTGCACCGAGAGCACTCTCATCATGAGCATCCATCTGTACGGCTTCTTTGTATTGCCTCACAATACTTCGAGTAACACCGAGAAGGGCGACATTCGCGCAAACGAATCGTGCTGAAGCCTTTCGGTTGAACTCGTGACACGACACCCCACAAACATAGCGTCGTTGTTCGTGACATCGAGCCATGCCAAAATCACTAGTGATCACTGGTGTCTAGCGACACGACACAGAGGATCGTCGTTTGCGATATCGGTGCGTGCCACACCCCAAACCCTAACCCGAAACCGTACACAACACTTTTCAAACAGAGAGAGAGGGCCGCCGCTCACACTCGGTTCGTGCCGAGTGCTAGCGACATAACACCCTGCCAGAACAAAGTCATATTTCCTGCGACTTTGGAACATTGAAACATAGCCGGTGCGGTAGAGACACGAATCATCTCAAGCAGCAGCAAATGCTAAACCAAGATACTATGCTGCTCAACTCTACTTCTATACTACGCCACACTGTGATACTAAGCATCTAGTTTGTGTGTTCAAAACTCTGGCAACCTCTTCGGGACTAGAGGTTTTCTTCTTTACCAGCAGCCCTTGCTGCTTTCTACTGCAGAAACAGCAGGAGTGGGAAGAGTTGGAGGGGCAAGAGGAGCAGCGAGGGAACAGCAACCCGGCCATGCTCCAGACGAGCGACCGAATTCTACCTTTCATCCCTGGCGGGCGGCGCCGCATCGACAAGAAGATTTCGAAAGCCGTCTCGAAGCAGGGAGCTTGCTGAAAAAGGGTTTCGGGTTTAGGGCTCAGGGCCAAAAGCATGAAGCCAACCAGGCATGGCCCCGATATACCTAGCATTTCTCGCTGCTCGATCTCTATCTATGTCTATATCTACATCTATATATCGGTATCTGTAAATGTGAATGATGCCTCTTCATATCCACGGTTGTGAATGTTCTTGTTGTTTTCCGCTGCCGTTAAGGCCCTTGAGTCTTACCAGATAGCTGTGCAGTTTATGGTGAGAAGTCCGACCAGTTCCAAACTGGTAGCAGGGCCGGTACCCCCTTGGTGGACCGGCCGAACGGGGACTTACTAGCCTGTAGTCCGTGGGACCAGGGCCTTATAATTTCGACCCCTGCGAAATCTCCCTACCGACTTCGGTTTTCCCGATAGACTCTAGTCACAGCCCGAAAAGCTCCGAGCCGCATCCTAAGTCGCGTCCAATAACTCCTTCTCCTCCCAGGTTCTACTCTAGTGCTGCTAATCGGTTTTTATGCCGCAGCTCACAGCAAACCCACGGCAACCGAAGCCGATGCCCCTGCTGTCCCAATCGGGTGCACGCGGCTCTTGTGACCGTGGCCTAATTACACGAGGCCGCACTGCTAGGCCTAAGCAGCCTCCTCCCCCATCTCCCCCACGCCCGTGCCTTCGCGGCGGCCCCATGCTGGCCTTCGTGCCCCTACAGCTCATGCCTCTGCGACCTTTCCCCGTGCTCCGCGCCCCTAAGCCAATCCTCACATCCCGAACTGCAGCAAACTCAGCTCCTGCACGTTCCGACCCACAGCATCGGGCCTTGCATCCGCATACTCCTCCCCCGCGCACCGTGTACTCGGAAGCTTCTCCAACGGCTTCTCGTGCTGGCCGCTCTTCGGCCCCCCCAAGTTCATGCCAACAACAATCGCCTTCTGAGCAGGCTCCGCCGATGACCCTGACCCCATCTGCGCTGTTCCCCCCAGGCTTAGACATCTTGGGGTTGCCACAGCGTCGTTCTCTGCGCCAGCTAGACTCCATTTTCCAGTCGGTGGCTGACAAATCCGGCAGCCTGGCCGGACTAGTTCCTACCTTCCAGTTGGCTGTGGAACGACGTTCCCACAAGCACCTCCCATTCTTCCTCACTCACGCCAGCTTCGCCGACTCCGACCTCGTCCGGAGCATCATGGAAGAGCTCACGGTGATGTTGACAACAAAGGACGGGCATGCATAGCGTGCCGTGCTGGCATGCTCAAGGTGTCCATCGCTCAATGCTCTGTCAAGCCGGCTCAGGCTGACCACCCTGCCACCGCGGCCGAGACGTTGGCTTTATGCCCTATCCCGCACCTGCCATCTGAACTCTCCGGTGTCAAGGCTGTTGCCTTCCATGCATCTACGCAAGACCTACCGCGCACTTGCGTATGTTGCCGCCAACATTTTAATATCGGCGAGGCGCTCGTGCGACTTTCATGCTTGGACGTGGTACATGCCGTACATGCAGACTGCATGGTCGCTTGGCTGAGCGCTCCCGCGTGCGTGCGGGCGGTGCCCGGAGTGCAACCTCCTATAGTGGCAATAGCGTAAAAACACAGGCACATGCCGCCCGCCCGATTCCTAGGTCAGCTCTAGACGCATGGACCCTTCCGCGTCACAAGAAAACAAGCTGCGCTCGCTGCGCCGCTGCTGCATTCTTGCGCTTCGTTCCTGTTTTTCTGCACGTCTGTCGTCTCCACTGTCTTGCCCTCTCTCCTCGTGCTGCTTCCCTTCCTCTCGCTTCTCTCTCCCTCTCTCTATCCCCCTCTCTCCCCTCTCTGCCCGGCTCGCTCCACCCTTTCTCCCCTCACCGTTCCCTCTCTTCTCGCCCAACCCCCCTTTCCTTGTCCCTTTTTGCCAAATTGGGCCACTTCCTGCCTCAGCCGTTTTCCGCTCAAAGCCTTTCAACCCCGGCCATAAATCTCCTTGATGACTCGGACGCCTCTGCGTACTCATCTAAGGATGAAGGGTCCCATCCGTTGGCCCAGCCTCCCGACAGACTTCGTCACCGTTTGGGTCACAAGGTGCTCCTGCCTGGCTTCACTGTCTCAGTTCCGGCGCAGCCCGTATTGTCACGCTGCAGTGTGCCAGCACCGGCCTGGACCGGCGCCAGTGGGGATTATGGTTCGGAGAGGATCTCGCCTCCTTAGGTGCGGATATAGGTGTCCTCTCCACACAGAAGTTCACTACTCCCTCGCTGCCACTCTGGTCACCTCCGATGGCATCTCACTCCGACTTCTAGCTGTCTACGCCCCTGGCCTGAATTTAATCTACACGTTGCGTTCGGACAATGCAAAGGCCTGCAGGAGCACCGCGCGAAGCATGGCGGCTCCGTCCTGTCTGTCACACCTGATGTTGGTACCGCTGTCCCTTTCATTGATATGTCTGAGATAACAACAGCGTTGCAGACAGGCCCATGGCTTCACATCGTTAGCGTGCCGCTTCTTTGACAGAAGCTTGAGCATCACTGTCCGTTGTGCGACAAATATCTGCTGCACTCTTCTTGCATCAAGTCGCACATTCTTGCCAAACATGCTCATCTGAAATCGCTGTTGCTGAGTGTGAAGCTCGGGTTCGCAAGCTGTCCACTCCCTCTCCCTGGGTGTGGCGCGGCAAGCACTACAAGAGGCGCGGTGCACGTCTTCGCAGCTGCCTGACTTCGTGCATTAGTATGCATGCTTGAATGCATGCTGCACCCCTCTCGGCCTCTCGCAGTCGAACCTTCTCTCAATGACTTTCGCCGATCCACCCTCCTTCCTCGGCCAGCCGTTGAGCGCCGAGAAACCCATGACACCGGAGGAGGAGATGAAGATGTGTTGCGGCCTGATGTCGTTTCGAGAGTCTGATCAGCGCAAGGCACAGGATATGGACCTGGAGCAAAGCAGTCCAGCTGGGTTGGAGGAGAGACCCTCCAAGGGAATCAGCAAGGGCCAGGACCGCAAAGACTATGGCAAGGGGTCCTGGGGCCCTCAAACCAACCGACGCTTCGGCAATGGGTCAGGCCAAGGACCGGATCATCAGCGGGGTCAGCAGCCACTGATGCCCGCCAGACGCAAGCATCCATGCAGGCCGAACTTCGACAGATGCCGCCTCCTCTTGAGACACGAAGGCAGTATCAATCTCCATGCCTTGGACAGCAGATACATCCTGTTCTGCAGCAACGACAAGGAGGGAATGCCCACTCGCCTTTGGCAGGTAGCCTAGAAATGGAAGGAGCTGAAGGATGCGAATCGCGCCTCTGTGACCCTTCGTCACACCATGGCCATCTCCTCTTCACGGAAGTCCGTGCGCGAGTGGAGGCAACCACCCAAGACGAGGCCGGCCAAACGTGCTCAAGCCACCAAACAGGGGTGGCTGGACTCCAACCAAGGCTGGCAGTACTGGACGTGGGGACACCCAGGGCCAAGCAGCATCGGGTCAGATCGCCTCCTATTCCTCTTGGCCCAGCCAGCCGGGAGTTCTTCATCGCTTCCATGCTCCATGCAGCCTTCTCGAAACCAACAATGCGCCGGTCATCGTGCTCATCTTGGACATTGGTCTCAGAATACAGCTGGCGCACGAGACATACGACACCATGCATCGTCTCAGTCAGTCAGCTCTTACGCAAACGGTTGGTATGAACTTGAGGCAGGACAGGCTTCAGAGATCTGCCCTGGCCAACTACATACAGACCCAGACTTGTGCTCCATCCTACAACTGAGGCTTCTCAACTCCTCCAATTCATGCTATATGCATGCAATGCTTTTGTCTTGGCTCTGGAGTGTCTGGTGTCTACCCACATGCCGATCTCAGGTTCCCGAGGGGCTACTGGAGGGCCTTCAGGCTATCTTGTGTAGGCTTGACCCACAGGCCCTGCTCGAACATTCCACCTGGGGCACTCTACTGCGTGAATGGAGGCACCCTCATCGTCAGCATGATGCGGCTGAGTTTGCGACATACTTAAGCCAACACCTGCGCATCATGCCAGATCGCGTCCACTGGCAGTCTCGTTCCAGTGATGGCATCAACATTCGTACTGAGGACGACGGCACGTCACCTGTGATCAGTCTGGTGCCCAACTCTGCAGCCCGCCATGACATTCAAGGAATGTTCAACCTCTGGCATTGTCAGGATGGGATTCACGCTTTCAATGGCCAGCCTGAGCTTGTCATTGCGCAAATCGCACGTTACTATGATGATTGCACCAAGCGTGATGATCCTGTTGACTCGCAGCATCGCATTGCTATACCAGCTTTGTCAACGCTGTTGATCTGCAGACATGCACTGTGTATTATCGACTGCGAGCGATTTGTGTTCACCTGGGAGCCATTACCGAGCGCTTCTGATTGACCGCAGGAGCGGCTGTCTCCTCTCACAGACGATGGTGCTCCTGCATGCCGATTGGACGCACACATCGCGGAATGGATTCAACGCTGCAGTTACCTTCTGTAATGCACTTTGGATTCTCACGACGTTGTATAGGTTCGGATTATATCCTTCGTTATCGGCTATGGATGGTCCAGAGCCATGACTCTCCTGCGGGAATGCCAAAGGCATGCCTAAACAGCCGGGTGTGAATCACCTGTCTCACGACACTCGCTAGGCTTGACGATTCGAGCAGCGACCTCAACGTCAAAATTATGTATTTTTGTGTGTATATATATACATATATGTATGTATGTATGTATGTATGTATGTATGTATGTATGTACGTACGTATGTATGTGTGTGTATGTATGTATGTATGTATGTATGTATGTATGTATGTATGCATGTATGCATGTATGTA